CAAATTGAAGCTGTTTAACAGCCCATGTACCAGAATTTCCTGTCCCTACAGAAAGAAAGCATCAGCCAGGAGGAATCTGGCATATGAAAGGTATTTTCACAGTATCTATCAGTGATGAAAATGGCCAGACCAGTAGGACTGGAGAGGCAAAGTCCTCTGTCGTAAATTTACTCTCTCACTACTATTATTTTTTTCTGTAATCTAAAACCACAATTGCTAAGGCCAAGTTAATTCAGATCTCAAAAACCCTGTACTGAGACACCATAGAGAATGGCTGGGTGTAGTGATAAGAAGCTCTGACTTCAGGCATTTGGCTGAGACCCTCCTCATTCCTTTGCCATTGACTCTAGACAGCCTCCTAGGACTGTTGCTTTCAGTTGCTGTTTACCTGGGGTTGCCCTAGGACAGGTTATGTGAGAAGAAGACTCCATCTGTCCTGCCCAAGCCCCAGGTTTTGAATGAATAGACTGAGGAAACACGTCAGTTGGCAGTGGTTTAAAATTCTTTTTTTTTTCCCTCCTCACAGCTGCAAAGAGTGGGAAAGAGCGACATCAAAGGCAGTCATGGGGGAACAAGCAAACTCTTGAAGGTAGATTTAGTCACCTTCACTCCAAGGTTCCTGAACCTCCCAAGTTCACCATGCCCAGGGTCTTCGGTCCTTTTCCAGAAGTGGTGAGTAAGCAGGTTTGTCAGTATGAGGAATCTCACTGTAAGATGTGGGAGGCTGCACTTACACCATACCCACCAGGCACAAGTCTTCTGGGCCACCTGCAGTCTGTGCTGCTCTCACTGGAGCACAGTATATGAAATATCTTTCTCAGCCTGCAGGACTCGATGACAAAGTTTGCTCTGAGAATTTGCCCAGAAACAAAGACAAGATTTGCCAAATAGGAAGCAGCTTTTATTTGCTTTGGGTAACTTCAACCCTACTTTCAGAGGAGTGGCAGAAAAATCACAGAATCATTAAGGTTGGAAAAGACCTTTAAGATCATCAAGTCCAACCATCAACCCAACACCACCATGCCCACTAAACCATATCCTTAAGTGCCACATCTACATGTTTTTTGAACACTTCCAGTGATGGTGACTCCACCACCTCTCTGGGCAGCCTGTTCCAATGCTTGACCACCCTCTCGGTGAAGAAATTTTTCCTAATATCTAGTCTAAACCTCCCCTAGCACAACTTGAGGCTATTTCCTCTCATCCTATCACTAGTTACTTAGAAGAAGAGACCAACACCCACCTCGCCACAGCCCCCTTTCAGGTAGTTGTAGAGAGCGATAAGGTCTCCCCTCAGCCTCCTCTTCTCCAGACTGAACAACCCCAGTTCCCTCAGCCGTTCCTCATAAGACTTGTGCTCCAGACCACTGACCAGCTTCATTGCCCTTCTCTGGACACGCTCCAGCACCTTGTAGTGGGTGGCCTGAAACTGAACACAGTGTTTGAGGTGCGGCCTCACCAGTGCTGAGTGCAGGGGCACAATCACGTCCCTAGTCCTGCTGGCCACACTATTTCTGATACAGGCCAGGACGCTGTTGGCCTTGGCCACCTGGGCACACTGTCGGCTCATATTCACCCGGCTGTCAACCAGCACCCCCAGGTCCCTTTCCACCGGGCAGCTCTCCAGCCACTCCTCCCCAAGCCAGTAGCATTGCATGGGGTTGTTGTGACCCAAGGGCAGGACCCAGCCCTTGGCCTTATTAAACCTCATACAGTTGACCTTAGCCCATTGATCCAGCCTGTCCAGATCCCCCTGCAGAGCCTTCCTGCCCTCCAGCACATCAACACTCCTGCCCAACTTGGTGTTGTCTGCAAACTTACTGAGGGAGCACTTGATGCTCTCATCCAGGTCATCAATAAAGATATTGAACAAGACCGGCCCCAAAATCAAGCCCTGGGGAACACCACTTGTGACTGCCCGCCAGCTGGATTTCACTCCATTCACCACAACTCTCTGAGCTTGGCCATCCAGCCAGTTCTTTACCCAGCGAAAAGTACAGCTGTCTAAGCCATGATACACCAGTTTCTCTAGGAGAATGCTGTGGGAGATGCCAGGTATAAAACCCATTATAAGGTACTCTCAGCTCCTCTACCTAAACCTCAGGAGCTTGTCCTAGTAAGAACAGCTGTAAGAAAAAGGGAAGAGCTGTCGATTCATCTAATTCAATAGTAAAAAACTGTCCTTGTGCTGTTGTTTGATGTGTACTTTTGCCACCCACAGGTGAACAGGGCTACAACTTCAAGCCCTAATCTAAAATACTGGTGGACTGGTCTAACAACAGTGAGCCAGAAAAGGTAGGAGAGGATTGAATCATGTGGAGGATAAGGCTGGCGTAAAGCAGACAAGGTAGATGGAAAGGATCTATGTTTCCTTCCTGGTGATGGGGGAAGAGAACAGTGCTCATGCTCTGTAACACCCTTTTTCTGTTAGTTTCAGCCAGTAACACAAAGATTACCATCCTTTTGTTTAGTCTTTTGGGAACAATCTCTCTCCCCTTTTTAAAACCCTCCTCCCTTGCAAATTCTGCATAGGCTGAGAGAATAAAGCTGAGCACTAGGTCACTTCTTTTACTGAGTTTGTTGTTTTCCCACAGCATGGCTAGTTTGCATCCTACAGTGCTCAACCCTGGAGGTTTCTGTAACTCCTATAGGCTGGTACCCACATCAGTAAGCTGAGAAATATGGACTTCTCAGGATAGGTCTTTGCTAGCTACCTGCGGTGACATAGTTACCTTCTGATAGCTGTTATCTCTCTGCATTGTGTCTTTCCACACAAATAGTCCCGAAGGGGTGACAGGGGAAGGTGTCAGTCAGCATTAGAGTGATGCAGATCTGCCTTTTGGTGTAGAAACTTTAGGCTTTCTCTGGCATTTCTCAGTTGAGTGAACTTACTTCTCAATGGTGTCTTCGGGAACATGTTAAGAGGTGAAATGCTCTGATCCTGCTCTAAAAGAAGTCAATTTTAGGAGCACTGAAACAGCTTAGCAGAAAAAAAAGGAACTCCTTTGTCTCAGCCTCATATACTTGTATATATGCTCATTAACATATAGTAATAAACCATGCACAGTAAATTTACTGTAAAAGTACATTTACTGTAAGTCATTGTCCTAGTGACTTTAAAAATATATAGTGTAATCAGTGAAGGGTCAGGGTAATATGACTCACTTATCAGTGATGCTGAAGAGACACCCTGACGACTCTCCCACAAGCTCAGCTGCTGAACTGGAAAAGAAGCAGGGATAGGTGTGGGAGGTTTAGTTGCCTGACACATTGCTAATGCCAAGTCCTCACTGGAAATGTTTTCCTGTTTTAGACTTCTTGGCAATGCTCCCTCACCTTCTCAAAATGCTGGCTCTACTGGCACTAAACCTGCAGCCTCTGTTTTTAACACACCTGTGTCATGCAAGTTCCAAGGCAATGCAGAAGATGACATGGATAGTGAGAAACCCAGCCCCAGTTCCTCTGCTAAGGAGGCATAAATGTCTCTTACATGGAAAAACCTATGCGAATAAACATTCTGTGCAAGCTCCCTGGATGTGTGTGGAGACTCTGCTATGCCCTAGCAATGATTTCTGCAAAAGCTTTGGTTAGCAGGACAGCTGTACTATGCTAAAGATGGAGTGACATCTGTGAGCTTTCTTCACTACCAAACAGCAGATACCTAACTTGCTGCAAAGTGGGATCTCCATTAAATGAGAGCAGAATGCAGGTAGGGGTCCTGAACTTACCTTGCTCAGCTTCTAAGTGAAGCCATCTCTCCTCTAACACATAATAGCCAAATCTTGAAATGCGTTCAGTATCTTAATTCCCTCTACCTTCTGCAGAAATTGGGTGTCTGAGTATTGCTTAGATTCTGTGCTTTACTAACTCCTGCCTGGCATGGATTTGAATCAACAACAAAGAAAAAAAAACTTTGCATCCTGTGGTCCGTTGTCCTTGCTTTGCTACTTGACCTTTCAGCAGATGACTCTGGCATCCTTGCTTCCAACTGCTTGTTACAGTTCTTGTCAAAATATTAATACGGGACATGTTATATGTAGAATAGGACTGGAGCATTTGAAAGACCTCAGCAATTAATCTTTCTCATAGCCAGAAGGGGAGCGGTAGAATTATGCAGAAGGTTGGGTCAAAAATGTAGCGTTCTAGTCTGGGCAAGATTCTGTCTTTTACTCCATAAATGGTTTAAGATGGCTTATGTTACCACCCTAAGGATCAACAAAAAAATGGTTACTCAGTAGTGATGGATCTCGTGTTAGGAGTGTGGAAAATTACATCTATTAATAGCTTGAGATTACCTCCTGAGGGAGACCTATTGTACAGATTTAATTGTATTTCTCCCTTAATTTATCAGCTGTTAGTAATTACATCCTGCATTTTTGCAATGGAAAAAATGAATCTAAACAGGCTGTTGAGACTGTACTTAAATAAATCATCCGAGGGAGAGGAAATTGCAATGCAAATAGTATCAGTCTTGTAAACAATTTTAATTCACTACTTAGCTATTCATTAATTAAATAACATCTTCAAAAATGCATTCTGGAAAATGTAGCAGCCACACTGAAAGCAGTGCTGGTCAGTTTAGCTTAAAGTAGCTCCTCTGGCATCTCAACAATATGTAACTTTTAAAAGGTTCAGATAGTAAGCAGTTTAGCTTGTCAGCTGACAGTTGAGAAAAATGCTGACTTTCCCTCCTTGCTGGAAGATGTCAGCATTATACTCTGTGCTTTCAAATAATCTCTTACAAGAGCAATATTCTTGTTCAGCTTCTATTTTGAACCTTTTTTTTTTTTAAATCACAACTGCAGTTCCTCTTGCCTCCTTTTCCTCTTTGCACACTCCACAGTTGCCCGCTAGCAGTATTGGATCCTCCAGCAGATACTGTGGACCACATCGCCCTCCTGTGCTATAGCCTCAAGTTACTCGGTCAAAATCCCTGTCCCTTCATTCTTCTCTGGGGACAATTCTAACAAAGGTATTTTGTTCTCAGATATGGTAGTTTGATTATCCTGTCCCAGTGAATGAAAAGGCACTGTTTACAATGGCAAGGTAAGGCAGAAAAGTACTTTTTTCATCATTGTCCTATTTCCTCATAAGTGGAGATGGCTTCAATGGAGAAAACCAGGTCAGGATGACATGTGTGAGGCTTGCTGCCCTCTCGTGGTGTCATCAGGGGCCATGCATTGGATCTCACAGCTGCCTCTTACATTGAAGTTTTCCCCTTTTGAGATGATGAGTCCTGCAGGAGTGGAGGGAAGAAGCTGCTTTATAGATGGAATTGATTATTTTAAACAGCAGTGTTTCGATTAGGATTAGCTGGATCAATTCAACCAGGCATAGCTTTTGAATTCTTGGTTGCAAAGGCAACGGTGTTGATCAGGTTCTCTGAATCTACAGATGATTCCCTGTAGTTTTCTGACTGGGACAAATGCATTGGAACTCAATACCGATGAGTCTTTTGGCTACTCTTGCCCAATTTTCTGGGAGAGTTAGCACTTAGTATGCTTTTTGATTATGATCATGGGAAACAGTATCATGGCACATCAAGAGCATACCAGTTACAGATGAAAATTTACAGCCACACTTTGGTGCACATTTGTGGGCACGTATTTTTAGTCAGCACATCTCAGTTTCAGCATTCGATGGGAACCTATCTTCTTACCCTGTAAGGTGACTGACCAGGGAAGGTACTCACCTTGTAAAAATAATTTTACTCCTGATGATAGTTACTGAAGCTCAGCTTGTGTCTTGTGCAACAATCAAAGGCAGCAGCTCTCCACAGCGGGAATTTAGTTTTAAGGATGCAAAGTGATCTAGCCTTGTGGGCCCAATGTTAAGGATTGCAATTGGCAGCTTCTTCTCCCGGGCAGCGAGAGCAAACCTGTAACCAGAGTATACCTGCAAGGAATACCAGAAGACAAAATTATTGGCAGCTTAGGCAAAATAAGAGCTACAGAAAGGAGTAAGTAAAGTAAAATAGTTGTTGTTGGCAGTGGGAAAAGGGATGTATGTATATGCTGTGTTAGGCAACTGCACTTAATTTAGGTAGGAAATGTCTTCATTCAGGAGTGCACAGAAAAGAACAGCTTTTAACCTCTGTCAGTGAAGGATTTTCAGTTTCGTAGAAACTGAACTTCATAGTACATTGAAGGGAAATGCCCTTGTCTTTTAGCAAATCTCTGCAGCAGTTTTCATTAGTTATCATAGGTACTTAAATGCTTCAACTTTGATGGTTCTCACATGGCCCAGCTTAGGTAGTACAAGAGTGAACCTAAGGCATTTCAATCATTCCTGTACAAAGGATTATAAGCTTAAGAAGTGCAAGCTCAAGGAATTTGTCTCCAGTATCCCGAAGCCAAGAGAATCGCAATCAGGCAGCTTTGGTTTTTTCTTGTACTGGTAAGCGTTAGTTTTTTTTAATGTAATCGAACTTGTTCCTGGAAAAAATTCTCTTATACAAACTCTATTCAAAAAGCTTCCACAGATTAAACAGCAGGAGTTTCTAAACTACCTTACCTTATCTATAAGAGGCTAATGGAGAAAACACATTGTGATACAAAGGACAATCCTAAGCAGCAAGCAGAGATATTTTTGCTCTCTTCTTGAGAATTTAGTTAGGAATTAGAGGTCCTAAAATCTGATATTTCGCACAGTGTGCCATGAGGCTAGAAAGCTACCAAAAAAATTCAAGCAAAAAAATGTGGGGTGGTAATCTCTGCCAGACTGAATTGCATTGGGTATCTTGGCTTTGTGGGCAACTGTGAACCTACAATGTACTGATGGAGGAGGTAGCAGAGACAGATCTGAATGTGTGAATGGAGTTATTTACAGCAGCGTGCAGTAGATTGGGCTTCCCTGTCCCCTATTGCCAAACAGGCCACCTGTGAAGCCAGATTCCAACCATAGTAAAAATAAAATACAAACAAGCTCTGGAGAGGCTGTTGTGATCCACCAGCAAGTAGTAGTCCTAAATTGTGGGACCAAGGATTGCTGGAGTAGCAATCTGGGTAGCACAGAAACGGGAACGCAGTGTGGGAGGAAGACATGCTTACCTGCATAGAGGATCCTGCCACCAGCATAGAGTCTGATTCCGCCAGGCGTTGGTGCACAAAATTCACTTTTTCCCGGCTCACCGTGTCTCCAAAGAATGTCACATCAGGCTTCAGGATTCCACCACATTTACGGCAGGCTGGGACTTGGAAATTATGCACCTGCTCATCTGTCAGGAAGACATCCCCATCTGGAGCTACATCGAGCGCTTCAGCTTTCCAGGTAGGATTCAGAGCTTCAAACTGCTCCTGGAGTTCAGAGCGCAAGATTTGGTCTCCACAGGCCAGGCAGAAAACCCTGAAATTCAGAGCAAAGTCTTAATGGAGAGTTTCATGTCAACTGCAGATCTGGAGTCTGTAATTAGTTCCTTGGGAGGCCTGGAAGGTCTGTTGTCACTATCCACATTTATTTACCAAATAGTAGAGGTCAAGGAGCTGTCTTTGTACCTCCAATTGTCGCTTTGTAGGAATGCTCTAGAGGAAGCGCCTTGAACCCTATCGTGCATCCTCTCAGTTCAGGCTGTGTTTTTTCATTTGGAAACTTTGGGTGATCACAGCTGTGACTGTGGTGCCCCTTCTCCAGTCCATTCATCCTGCACATTTCTGGCACTATCCACTCTGCTTAGCCCTGGATAACCCTTGCATCCTCAGGATCCCCTTGTCCTCTTCACTACGAGGATATTTTACTGTACCAAGGACAGGGGAAATTCTAACTGATGCAAGCTCCAAGGGAAATGATCCAAATAATGCTCCAAAAAATGGAGTGGTGGTGGTCTTTCTTTAATACTGTGCTGTGAACAGCACTGTTTTGTGATCTTTTTCTCCACCTCAGCCCAACACCACCTTTGAGCATGTCATCTCCAGGAACATAGCACTGACGTTTTGCCTCCTTTCTCGGCAGCTAACACCGCACCTGCTTCTCAGTCACCCTGAATGAGAGACCTGGAGGATTAACCATCCTCTTTCTGCTGACAGACAGTACCTGTGCGTGCAGCCATGCAGTTCTGTCATGCGCTGGCTCCCAGCTTTGGTGTGAAGGGCATCCACATTCTGGGTCACCAGCCAGTACAGCTTCCCCAGCTTCTCCCAGTCTCTCAGTACCAGGTGTGCTGTGTTTGGCTGGTGGGAGGAGAACTGGGGCCAGCCCACAAAGTTCCTTGCCCAGTACCGCTGCCGGGCTCTGGCACTACGAATGAACTCGGCATGCTGGATGGGCCGTCTGTCTGTCCTGGCGTAGAGCCCAACACCTTCAGAGCGGTAATCTGGGATCCCCGATTCAGTTGAGATTCCAGCTCCAGTCATTACAAACAGCCTTTTGGAGTTGGAAACAAAGCGCTGCAGCTCCTCTACTTCCATGGGATCTGGGGGAAGACAGGCTGGCACAAAAGCCAAGTTTGGGGAGGTCTTGGATACAGAATGGGATCTGAAATGATGGAATCCGATGGCTCTGCGAACTCCTGACAACTTCCTGGCAGAGAACATGTTCAGCTAAAAGCCAAGAACACAGAACACATGGCAGGTAAAAGAAAGCAAAGAGTATGTCCTTAATTCCATTTTCTTGTGATTCTCTGGAAAATTATGCTGATAAGTATTCTTTACTCTTTTTTCTTTTTAGTAAAGGAACACAAATTATTTTGGAAATATTAAGTAAAGCCCACTGTCTGAGGACAGCATTCGTATGTCCCTTTCACAAAGGGTAACACTGAGGACTGCTCAAGGTACCAGGACAGAGTTAGCACACCTGGCCTGCAGGATTCCTGCTCTCCTATTCTGGTGTGAAGGATGGCTGCCTAAGAGGACTTCTAAAGAGCTCAGAAAGACCAGAACATGCAAAACCTTTCCCAGTTATGTGCAACAGGGCAGAGAAGAAATGGCAGGAATTTCAAGAA